CATGCCAAATAAACTCGTGCTAAATAACAGTCTACTGTATTTCCTTTTTCACGTCTATGGTGTTTCTCACTTTCTTTACCACAGGGGTACCACTAGCAAGTTTCTTTGGGCCTATGGTAGCTTATTTCACAGTCGCACAAGCACCAAACACAATGAATTAATAGTGAAATGTTTGAATGAGTGTGCATGTTAATGTTCACTCAAGCATCAACAAAGCCAGACTGGCTCACGATGCCTGCACGGGGATGCGGGCAGGCAGACAGGTCCGCTTCCCGGTGGTTCGAAAGATGGGGTGCGTTCGATAGTTGGGACAAAATTGGTTCGAAAAAAGTGGTCGAAACTCGAAGCATTCGATAGTTGATATGTTCGAAACTCGGGGTTCCACTGTATATACGTACAAATGTACAGTCACTGTACATGTTCCTAGAAGTTCTGCAGCTTGTGGAACTCTTTGAAACATGGTTTCATACACAATGGTGTTTTACACTTCTCACACATAAAACGAATGTCTGTGTTTTTGTGGGTGTTGATTTGTGCACAGACAAAACACCTCGTCTGAGCAGTTTCCTTCAAAGTAGTAGCAGGCAGAGAAATTGAAATCGTGTACACCAGGGAGGTCCAATATGCAGCCCACCGGATGAACGTGGCTTAGTTGACCGTGGAAATTAGTACTTGGTGAGTAGAACCTAACCAATTCCCGGCCACTGCGGTTATGTAACAAATTCTAGCTAAAATGTTTTTATTTTCTAATAGTTGTGTTAGGTAGCTATCCTAGGTAAATGATCGTGTGTCATCATTCCTTCCTTCCTTTCCTTCCTTTTATCTTGTCCTTCCTTTCTTCCTTAATTCATTCCTTCCTTTCTTCTTTTCTTCCTTCCTGTCTTCCTTCCTTCCTTCTGGTTTCTATAATATATATACACATATATAGTCACTGGACACTTTTGTAGAACTGCTATTAGCTTCTGGAAGCTTGGTGTGTGTGTGTGTGTGTGTGTGTGTGTGTGTGTGTGGACTTGTAAATGTGCTGAGTCAGGGTGTGACTGCTGTCAGAATGACAAATTATACCATCACTCACTACCTTTACTGCCTGTCAACACCCATGGGGTCCCATGCCTTCTTCCCCCACCTTCCTACCTACCTACCTACCTTCCTTCCTTCCTTCCTTCCTTACTTCTTCCCTTCTTTCCTTCCTTTCATCTCGTCCTTCCTTCCTTCCTTCCGGTATCCTGGACATTGCTTTTGGTCACAAACTCCTCAAAACTGTGAAATTCATCTTCAGAGACACTTCCATCTGTGTTAGAGCTATCACTTGGGAAGAGAAGAGTCTCAGATTCGCTGGGGAGTCAGGTATTTCTTACTGCTAGGCATGCTGAACAAGGGCTACTGAAATGGCATTCCCACAATGCACCACTGGCTCCCTGATTTTTTTTATACTGCACACACTGACCATGGAGACCCACTGTCTCACATGTGGGCCTACCAGCTTTCTCCTGCTTGATTTGAAGCCGCTAGAATTTTGGCATATTAATACGTCGAAAACATTGGCTCGTAAGACGTATATATACGGCCGAAACAGTCAAAGGGTTAAGAGCTTGAACCTGCTTAACATACAAAATATTTTCTTATATTATTGTGCCTACTGCATACACAGAACACCCTTCTCCAATATAAACCCTCCTCTCAGACTCCTTCTTGAGAACTACAACAGAATGCACTTGCATAACAGTTAGTTTAATATGTTTATTATGCACCCCATACCCATCCTGTGGGCGGTTGTCAAAAGGTTACAGAGGTACATAATTGGTCCAGGGACTGGACTCCAAAGTTTTGATAGCTGAGCAAGTTACAGAGGTAATGAATTCACAATTTACAAAGGTAATGAACTCACAATTTACAAAGGTAATGAACTCCAGGTAGGTCTAGTCACAATCATGACAAGTTACAAAGGTATTTACAGATTACAGAGGTACGTAATGGGTCCAGGGACTGGGCTTCCAAAGTTGTGATGGCTGAATTAGGTACAAGGTAATGAACTCACAAGTTACAAAGGTAATGAACTCACAAGTTACAAAGGTAATGAATACTGTAAGAATGGTTACTTACGTTTATACATGGCTACAATCATGAACAAATTATAGTGTAATGAGCAATTCACACTTCCACACCCGGTCACAACTGTAGTGAGTTATTGGTGCAAATATTGATTGTTGAGACACACACACACACACACACACACACACACACACACACACACACACACACACACACACACACACACACACACACACACACACACACACACACACACACATACACAAACTCATACACACACATGCACACACACTCATACACACACACACACACACTCATACACACACACACTCATACACACACACACACACACACACACACACACACACACACATGCACACATGTGGTAATGCTTTATTTACAGCTAGCAAAGTCAGGGTATTTCTCCAGAATGGTCTGCAATATACCACTGTGGATAAAGTACTTTGCCATTTCTTGAACATTTATGAGCGAGTTGTTTCTAAATTCATTAATTTTATCACACTCCAGTACATAATGACACAGGGTGTGACAATAGTCCATCTGGCAAAGTTTACATTTCGTTTGGTCTACATCTGGTGGTGGTGATTTAACCTGCCAAAGATACTTGTAACCCAGCCGGAGCCGGGCAGTAGTGACATCCAAGAGTCTGCTTATTTTGTTGGATGCACCATAGACATGTGGCTCCTCCTGCATGATAGAATGATGATAGATGGACTCACTGGTGTCAATCTCCCTGAGCCTTAAGTCCATAAAATTCAGTTGAAGTTCTTTTCGTATTATTGTTCTCAAACTACTACCTGACAAGCCAAGATTGTAATCTACTCCCTCTTTGAAAGCACAAGACACAAAACACACTTTGATATTCCTCATATCCATCTCTCCCTATGCAAAAATGCTATGCATATAAAGGGCCCTTAGATCTGGAATTCATTGCCTGAAAATACACTAATACAAGGCTCCACTTAGAAATCACCTCATCTCTCAAAATTAACAACACAAATGCTATAAAACACTACTCAAAAATTGCCACATTTTATAAGATTATTTCAAAACTAAAATGGTCTCAATCTTATTATGTATAATGTGCTAATATACAATACTGTAACTTGTTATTCAACTATACTTGTTAATTTAATTACTGCTAAACCACTGCTACCTCTGTTGTTGTATAAAAAACAGTGTTCAATTCGAACCAACTACAATATATATGTCTAGTATTTAGTACCGTAGTCTGTAAACCGTTAGGCTTAGTATGCCCAAAATGCCTCGGCATGATAGTGGCTTTCTTTGCACGTTGCAAATCAGTATTGTAATTACACGTTGTAAACTATGCAAGGAAATAAACTCCTTAATCCTTAACCCTTAAAAGGCTTTTTACATTTATGTAAGAATTCATTGCAGTATGCCTTAGTTTTAATACAGTATAACATGGAAAACCATTACGGGATTCTTTTAATTCAGATTTTTATTTCTTTGCATAGTATACAATGTGTGATTTACACATTATAAAATACTGTTGAGAACAAGAAAACCAGTAACATGCCTGAGCATGTCATGGATCAAGGAGTGGTAAATTTTAATTATGCATTATTTTGAATTAGTATTAGAAAAGGGTAGAATTTTTTTATAATTAATAAGATTTATAGTAGAAAAAATACATGTATTACAATTAGTACAATTTACAATATTACAACAGTACAATTTTAAGAGTGTACAGTGGACCCCCGGTTAACGATATTTTTTCACTCCAGAAGTATGTTCAGGTGCCAGTACTGACCGAATTTGTTCCCATAAGGAATATTGTGAAGTAGATTAGTCCATTTCAGACCCCCAAACATACACGTACAAACGCACTTACATAAATACACTTACATAATTGGTCGCATTCGGAGGTGATCGTTATGCGGGGGTCCACTGTATTAATATTAGATTGATTTAGTTGTCTTAAGTTAATTGGGATTTCTTGAGTGTAGTTTCAAATTGCTAATTTCTTAAGTGATTTCAGACATAGGATAGTGATGGTATTGTTAAGTTTGGGAGAAGAGATGATTTTTAATGTACTTATTCCTGTTTATTGATCCACTGTGTATTCTTATCTAATAACTCTCCTCTTCTATTTTTAACTCTCAAGTCCATGCATTCTATAGGCTTTCTCAACTTAATTAATTTCACTCCAAAACTTTTTCATATTCTCAGCAGAATTTGTTAGCAGCATCTCACCCATTCTCTCATTTACACTCCTTCATCACTCTGTTACATTATTAATTATTATTCACTTTATGTATTCCTTTATGTATAAATGGAAAACAGGAATTAATAAAGGGGATGTAAATAGCGTGCTAAAAATATCTAACAGACAGGACTCGCAGCAATGGTTTTAAATTGGAAAAATTCAGATTCAGGAAGGATATAGGAAAGCACTGGTTTGGTAATAGAGTTGTGGATGAGTGGAACAAACTCCCAAGTACCGTCATAGAAGCTAAGATGTTGTGTAGTTTTAAAAATAGGTTGGATAAATACATGAGTGGGTGTGGGTGGGTGTGAGTTGAACCTAACTAGTTTGTGCTACTAGGTTGGATCCTGTGCTCCTCCCTTAAGTGACGTGTCTGACCTCGCTAGTTCAGCGAGGTCAGACGACCAGTAAGCTTAAGGTCACTGGGTCAGTGAGCTTAAGCCGGTGGGAGAATTGGACCTGCCTCGCATAGGCCAGTACGCCTGTTGCAGTGTTCCTTCTTTCTTATGTTCTTATTACATTCCTAGTTATTGATTCATTATGTATTCCTATTACATCCCTAATTACTGATTCACTTTATGAATTCTTATTACATTCCTAGTTATTTATTCACTATGTATTCCTATTACAGCTGTAATTACTGATTCACTTTATGTATTCCTATTACATTCCTAATTACTGATTCACTTTACAGCTTTTTGAGGGTATGAAAGCTTTTCGTGGTGTTGATGATGCAATCAGAATTTTCCGGCCAGATAAAAACATGGAACGTATGAATCGAACGGCAGCTCGGTCATCTCTTCCCACTTTCGATGGTAATGAGTTAATCAAGTTACTAAAGAAACTTATAAGCATAGATCAAGAATGGGTGCCACATTCCGAATCATCTAGTCTCTACATACGGCCTACCTTAATTGGCACCGAGGTAAGTGTACTTTTGTATGTACAGGTGCTCCTCAACTAATGATGGTTTGACTTATATTTTGACTTTACAATGGTGCAAAAGCAGTTATTTTAGAGATGAAGCTTAAGATAATAATCCAGCATGAAGGTGGAAGTCCATCACTTATACATTCATTTATTTACTCTAATGCTGGTGTATTTAGTTGGTTTCAGTAATTATTTATTTATTCACTTATTCATTGACAGTAGTTATTTATTTACTTATTTAGCATGTTTTCATTTTTGACTTAAGATATTTTTGACTTATGATGGGTTCATTGGAATGTAACCCCATCATAAGTTGACGAGCAACTGTACTACATTGTATATTGTGATATACCTAATGTGTCCTGTATGTTTTGTTTGGTGTTGTGAAACACACACATGTACCTGATGATTCCTGGGGCCAGTGTCATCATGGCCTTGTCTCACACCAGGCCTTTAGGATGACATCCTGGTCAGTCTTCCAGGCTGTTTCTTGTAGTTCACACACTGATGTAGGCATCATAGTCTGGTTAATTAGGAATCATTTGGAAAAAAATTGTCAAACTTTGTTTAAAACAGTTACAGGCTTTTAAATACGTAATTTACATTCGGAGGGTGTTGAAAAGCTTTGGACCTCTTATGCTCATTAATTTCACACTGTACCATTTTTTTTTTTCAACGCACTGGTCATCTCCCACCATGGCAAGGTGACCTAAAAAGAAAAGCAAACTTTTTATTTTAACATTTAGTAATATATACAGGAGAAGGGGTTACCTGCTCCTTGCTAAGTAAGTTTATTCAGGTATACACAAATACAGTTACATAGATTATCATACATAGCAGCATATGTGTAGAGAACCTGGGATAACCCAAAAAAGTCGGACAGAGTGACTTATTTCCACTGGGGTCCTTTTACCTTATTATTATAATATAAAGGTTATAATATTTTCTTACTATTCTATAATGAAGATAACATCTTATTATTATACTAAAAAGACTATCTACTACCCGAGGGTCATTAAGATTAAGATTATCTACAATACGAGGGTCATTACTAGGAATGGCTTACGGAGGAAAGACTCTTGTCCACATTCCCAGGGAGATGAAAGGAAAATAAGAACAAGAAACTATTAAGAAAAATCAAAGAAAACTCAGATGGGTACTCACCTATTTGTACTCACCTGTTTGTGGTTGCAGGGGTCGAGTCTTAGCTCCTGTCCCCGCCCCTTCACCGGTTGCTACTGGGTCCTCTCTCTCCCTGCTCCATGAGCTTTATCAAACCTCGTCTTAAAACTACATATGGTTCCCGCCTCCACTACATCACTTTCTAGGCTATTCCACTGCCTGACAACTCTATGACTGAAGAAATACTTCCTAACATCCCTTTGACTCATCTGAGTCTTCAACTTCCAATTGTGACCTCTTGTTTCTATGTCCCCTCACTGGAACATCCTGTCTTTGTCCACCTTGTCTATTCCGCGCAGTATTTTATATGTCGTTATCATGTCTCCCCTGACCCTCCTGTCCTCCAGTGTCATCAGGCCAATTTCCCTTAACCTTTCTTCATAGGATATTCCCCTTAGCTCTGGAACTAACCTTGTCGCAAACCTTTGTACTTTCTCTAATTTCTTGACGTGCTTAATCAAGTGCGGGTTCCAAACAGGTGCTGCATACTCCAGTATGGGCCTGACGTACACGGTGTACAGTGTCTTGAACGATTCCTTGCTAAGGTATCGGAACGCTGTTCTCAGGTTTGCCAGGCGCCCATATGCTGCAGCAGTTATCTGGTTGATGTGTGCTTCCGGAGACATGCTCGGTGTTATACTCACCCCAAGATCTTTCTCCTTGAGCGAGGTTTGCAGTCTTTGGCCACCTAGCCTATACTCCATCTGCGGTCTTCTGTGCCCTTCCCCTATCATCATGACTTTGCATTTGGCGGGGTTAAATTCGAGAAGCCAGTTGCTGGACCAGGTGTCCAGTCTGTCCAGGTCTCTTTGAAGTCCTGCCTGATCCTCATCTGATTTAATTCTCCTCATTAACTTCACATCGTCTGCGAACAGGGACACTTCTGAGTCTAACCCTTCCATCATGTCGTTCACATATACCAAAAATAGCACTGGTCCTAGGACTGACCCCTGTGGGACCCCGCTCATCACAGGTGCCCACTGTGATACCTCATTACATACCATGACTCATTGTTGCCTCCCTGTCAGGTATTCTATGATCCAATGCATTGCCCTTCCTGTTATATGTGCCTGATCCTCTAGCTTCTGCACTAATCTCTTGTGAGGAACTGTGTCAAAGGCCTTCTTGCAGTCCAAGAAGATGCAATCAACCCACCCCTCTCTCTCGTGTCTTACTTCTGTTACTTTATCATAAAACTCCAGAAGGTTTGCGACACAGGATTTGCCTTCCATGAATCCGTGCTGGTTGGCGTTTATACTTTTGTTCCGTTCCAGGTGCTCCACCACTCTCCTCCTGATAATCTTCTCCATAACTTTGCATACTATACACATCAGTGACACAGGTCTGTAGTTTAGTGCCTCTTTTCTGTCTCCTTTTTTAAAAATGGGAACTACATTTGCCATCTTCCATACCTCAGGTAGTTCCCCAGTTTCCAGGGATGTGTTGAAGATTGTGGTAAGTGGCACACACAGCATATCCACTCCCTCTCTAAGGACCCACGGGAAGATGTTGTCCGGTCCCATTGCCTTTGAGGTATCAATGTCCCTTAGCAGCTTCTTCACCTCATTTGTATTTATGTCATCCAACACTTGTTGGTATATTCCTTGCTGGTGTCTCCATCTGGACTGTCCCCCCAGAGGCCTTCCTGTCTCCACTGTAAATACTTCCTTAAATCTCATGTTGAGCCCCTCACATACCTCTTGATCATTTCTTGTGAGTTTTTCACCTTCTTTCCTCAGCCTTATCACCTGGTCTTTGACTGTTGCCTTCCTCCTAGTGTGGCTATACAGCAGTTTCGGGTCAGACTTGACTTTCGATCCTATGTCATTTTCATACTGTCGCTGGGCCTCCCTCCTTATCTGTGCATACTCATTTCTGGCTCTTCTACTAATCTCCTTATTTTCCTGGGTCCTAGCTCCCATCTTGTTCCTCATCCTCATATCCGACATAGACAAGGATGTCAGCCACAGCACCATGTCTTCCTTTGCAGATGACACCCGAATCTGCATGACAGTGTCTTCCATTGCAGACACTGCAAGGCTCCAGGCGGACATCAACCAAATCTTTCAGTGGGCTGCAGAAAACAATATGAAGTTCAACGATGAGAAATTTCAATTACTCAGATATGGTAAACATGAGGAAATTAAATCTTCATCAGAGTACAAAACAAATTCTGGCCACGAAATAGAGCGAAACACCAACGTCAAAGACCTGGGAGTGATTATGTCGGAGGATCTCACCTTCAAGGACCATAACATTGTATCAATCGCATCTGCTAGAAAAATGACAGGATGGATAATGAGAACCTTCAAAACTAGGGAGGCCAAGCCCATGATGACACTCTTCAGGTCACTTGTTCTATCTAGGCTGGAATATTGCTGCACTCTAACAGCACCTTTCAAGGCAGGTGAAATTGCCGACCTAGAAAATGTACAGAGAACTTTCACGGCGCGCATAACGGAGATAAAACACCTCAATTACTGGGAGCGCTTGAGGTTTCTAAACCTGTATTCCCTGGAATGCAGGAGGGAGAGATACATGATTATATACACCTGGAAAATCCTAGAGGGACTAGTACCGAACTTGCACACGAAAATCACTCACTACGAAAGCAAAAGACTTGGCAGACGATGCACCATCCCCCCAATGAAAAGCAGGGGTGTCACTAGCACGTTAAGAGACCATACAATAAGTGTCAGGGGCCCAAGACTGTTCAACTGCCTCCCAGCACACATAAGGGAGATTACCAACAGACCCCTGGCAGTCTTCAAGCTGGCACTGGACAAGCACCTAAAGTCAGTTCCTGATCAGCCGGGCTGTGGCTCGTACGTTGGTTTGCGTGCAGCCAGCAGCAACAGCCTGGTTGATCAGGCGCTGATCCACCAGGAGGCCTGGTCACAGACCGGGCCGTGGGGGCGTTGACCCCCGAAACTCTCTCCAGGTAAACTCCAGGTGTACCTTTTCCATTCTCTTGTGCACTTAGTTTTTGCTTCCCTACACCTTCGGGTAAACCAAGGACTCGCTCTGTTTCCATATTATTTCTGTTTCCCTTGGGAACAAACCTTTCCTCTGCCTCCTTGCACTTTGTTGCTACATATTCCATCATCTCGTTTATTGATTTTCCTACCAGCTCTCTGTCCCACTGAACCTCCTGCAGGAAGTTCCTCATACCTGTGTAGCCCCCCATTTTATAGTTTGACTTTTCCCATTCAATTCCTGTTACCTTCTCCACTTGTAACTCTACTATATAATCAAAACTCAGAACCATGTGATCGCTAGCTCCAAGGGGCCTCTCGTAAGTAATGTCCTCAATGTCTGAACTGCTCAGGGTGAACACAAGATCCAGTCTTGCTGGCTCATCCTCCCCTCTCTCTCTGGTAGTGTCCCTGACATGTTGATGCATGAGGTTTTTAAGTACCACATCCATCATCTTGGCTCTCCATGTTTCGGGACCCCCATGTGGCTCCAGGTTTTCCCAGTCGATCTCCCTGTGGTTGAAATCACCCATTACCAGTAACTTTGCTCTGCTCGACTGAGCTCTTGCCATTTCAGCCAGTGTGTCCACCATTGCTCTGTTGTTTTCTTCATACTCCTCTCTTGGCCTCCTGCAGTTCTGTGGTGGGTTATACATCACTCCAATAACTGAGTTCTCCAGACTGAATTGTACCTACTATGTAGTCCCTTTCTCCAATCACATCCATGCCTTCCATTTTCTCAAATTCCCATCGTTTTTTTATGAGCAGTGCAACCCCTCCTCCCCCTTTACTCCTATCTTTCCTCAGGATCTGATATCCCGGTGGGAAGATTGTGTCTGTTATTGTCTCAGCGAGTTTCATTTCTGTGACTGTTATGATGTCTGGGGATGTCTGTGATGTGGGTGTGTATACCTATGTGTACATGCATGTGTAATGTGACCTAAGTGTAAGTAAAAGTAGCAAGATATACTGTACCTGTTATCTTGCATGTTTATCAGACAAAAAAAAAAAGACAACAGCTCTCTTACCATCATGTAAAACAATTACAGGTTGTGTACTACTTATGAACTGATTTTCCTTAGAGGTATAGTAATCCTCTACATGTCAAGCAAGACAAGTTCCAGAAAAATTGCTCACTAAGGGACTTTTACACTTAGTGAATCCCATATCTATTGCTCCTGACCCTTGTAGGTATAGTGCTTCTTTTTGATTATACCAATAATGTATCCACTGAGACATCCATGTTATAATCATGAAGAACATATGAATAACTAAAGAAAGTGTAATGAACACTTAGCAATAACTCACATGAAGACAAACTCAGAATCAATTAATTTTCCGAGTTCGTCTCCATATGGGTTATTATTGAGCATCAGTAACATATATTGCTATACTACACTTTTAACCCGTAAATGGTCCAAACGTATACATGTATATACGTTCTCTCCTGTAGTGCCCCAAATTTTTTGAGAAAAAAAAAATCGTTTTTTAATAGGAAAAAAGAGCATATGGTACCCAGGCATCCCCAATTATTTTAATATGGTGCACAGTGAGTGCGCACACCCATTTTCTCATGTCTAGGTGACTCAGGCTTATCGTGGCAATGTTGAATGTATGACAAATAAAACGTATATATATGTTTGGACCGTTTATGGGTTAAATACTGTAATATATTTAATACAGTACAGGTTGGCCATCACTAATCCAGTACCATTGGGACCTGTAGTGTGCTGGATTAGTGAGTTTGCCGGATTACAGAGTGGTTAGGTTAGAGTACACTTAATTAACCAATCAATAGACTCTTTCTGCTACATCTTTCTCATTTTCATCACTGCTTTCTTCTCTACTAGCTTGCTGCTGTGGATTTACAACCATCTGAACAATTTCTGAGTCAGTATATTGATGAAATTTGAGTCAGTTCAATGATGAAATTTGAAACTATGCTAGCCAAAATTAGTGCCAGATTACTGATGGAACTGGATAACTGATTGCCGGATTATTGATGGCCGACCTGTATGTAGATATGCATTGTGTCAAAGCTTTATAGAGAAATTGTGGTGTAGTTTTGTGGGTAGTACATGGCACGTGGTGTCCCGTAGCTCAGTTGGTAGCACACTCAGCTTACATACTAAGGTCCGTGGTTCAATTCCCGGTATCGGTGGAAACATTGGGGGATATTTCTTTAAGACACCTGCTGTCCCTGTTCACCTAGCAGTAAGTAGGTATCTGGGTGTTAGCCGACTGGTGTGGGTCTCATCCCAGGGATAAAATTAATCTAATGTGCCTGAAATGTTCTATATAACCAGGGGCTTTCCATATATGTAGTATGTAATTGATGTTAGCTATGGCCTGTATAAGTTGCACCATATACGTACTTGTAAAAATAAAGATTATTACTATTATTTTTTGGGCCACCTTACTTTAGTAAAATATGGACTGTTTTTTTTGTTTGAATAAAAATTATGAGGCATTCTTTAGCAGTTTTTAACCTGGAACAGTTTTTTGGGAAGTGGATATGGAGGCTCTTAGTGATGCTGCGTTTTCTTCCAAAATTATCCAGTTTTACTATTATTGACTCTTGAGAGGAGTGGCATAATGTAATAATAATAATGCCTTTATTTACTACATGTACTAAGTATACAGTCCTAGCTGACATCAATGACACACTATTGTATAGAAAGCCGCTTGTTATGCTGATCATTTCGGGCAAATTAGGTCACTATTGTCCTAGGATGCGACCCACACCAGTCGACTAACACCCAGGTACCCATTTTACTGATGGAGAACATAGACAACTGGTGTAAAGAAACACGCCCAATGTTTCTACCCTCGCCAGGAACCTAACCCAGACCCTCGCCGTGTGAAGCAAGAGTTTTAACCATCACGCCACGGGGCACCATGATTCTATTGAAGGACTCCTAATCCAAGAAGTTGGAGTCTTTCCCTTGTATAAAACCTAAGGACTGGGACCTCCATTTCCCAGGTACTGTATGATCTATAAGGGTTTAATTATCATTATAATCAAAACTAAGTGTTGAACTGACAAGTGTCATACAGCGCTGCAGGGTAGGATGTGTAATTTTATTCAATTATACACAAATACAGTTACATAGATTACCACACATAGCAACATATGTGTAGAGAACCTAGGATAACTCAAAAAAAGTCAGAGTGACTTATTTCCACTGGGGTGTAATATGTCTGATCAGAGACCATGAAGAGTATGCCAGAGGCAGAGTCAGTAAGGGCAGTGAGGAGTGCTAAATGGAAGTATAATCAAAGTTGATGTAATAAAACTGTTGCTGACAAAAAGTCAAAGAGGGAGTCTGTATCAAAGATGGGGCTGTCAGCAAAATAAGGGCTTAGTGCTTACCATGAATATAACATTAATAATTCTGTAGTTTTTAGGACAAAATAAAAATATGTATTGTTAATGACTTGAACTTGTATACAGTAATCAATGTCATTTGAACACAGCAGGTAAATTTAATGATGCACTTTCTTGCAGCCCACCTTAGGTGTTCAACGACCAACTGAGGCACTATTGTATGTAATATTGGGCCCAGTTGGGCCTTACTTCGCAAGTGGGTTTAAGCCTGTTTCTCTGCTAGCAGATCCCAAGTATGTGAGAGCCTGGCCAGGGGGTGTTGGGATGATGAAAATGGGATCAAATTATGGACCAACACTGGAGATTCAGGTACAGTAATACAGTGTTTAATTCATGTTCATATGCTTATAAATTATTGTAGAATTTTTTTTTTTATCCTGATGTATCTGTTCATTTCAGATAAAGCACAACACTTGACAGTTTCTGTAATAAATTAATTGCAGGACCATCATTTTTGTAGATCTCTTAATGGGGAGCCAAGTGTCTTTATTTATTAGCAATAAAAAAGTTTTACAAAGGCTATAACAGTACAGTATCTTATGAACTTGACAGTAGACCCTAGACCCACATTCTTAAGGATTTTCCAAGTAAATATTATCAGGTATATTTCTCTTTTTCCAAAGAATACATTCTAGTTGTTTTGAAGTGTTTCCAGTAGTTTATTCTCTTGATTCTATATGAACAGCAAATAATTTCTGTATATATTCCAGCTCCCATTTAGGACAGTACTGTGAACACAATATTCAAGACATGAGAACACCATTAATTTCAATATACAGTCCTTTGCCTTATTGTATTCTCTAATTTATTTGATAGTTAATCTGACATTATAATTCCTAAGTCTTGCATGTTCCTTTTGCTCTGAGATTTTTTTGCTTTCATTTTATATCTTGTGTTTGTTTTCGTTTTTTTTTCTTTTCTACTACCAAGGTAACTTTCATACTCAGTCTGATATCATCCACAAAGGATGATACAAACTTGTGGTTAGTGTTTTTATCTTGTTTGGATGATTATTATAATCAAAGAAAGCACTAAATTGACAAGGGTCATGCAGCGCTGCGGGGCAGAAAATAGCGCCGGGGCTGTAAACAGCTAGGTGGAGAGGATATCAGAGGCAAGGGGAGAAAAGAGCTGGAAGGGACACTAAGGGCTATGTGTCAAAGTTCATATGGTAAGGCATTTGCTGACAAGAAGTCAAAAAGTGATTGTAAGTCAAAGGCAGAGCCATCTGCAAGAAGGGAAGATAAGGTAAGAGCAGTAGGGCGGCGACAACGTTGGAGGTACTAAATCCTACGAGCTCGCTTGTTTGAATGAGAAACAGTAAAGGTACCAGTTCTACATCTTGGGATGCTCAACATTTTACTCTGCTAAAATGACTTTTTTGTTGTTTACTAGAGCTCTTTGTGATCTGTTTGTTAGAAATCTAAATATCAATTTCCCTACTTACCTATTATACACTGTTTAACCTCATTTTTATGAGTTATCATTCTATAGCTTCATCTCAAATGATTTTGTCACATCAACCTTATGGTTATGTGAGGCAAGATCTTCATGCTGTAAAGTCATATTTATTTGAATTGTGTATTATTATAATCATAAGTGCTACACCCACAAGGGTCATACAGCGCTGCAAAGTAGAATGTTCTAAAGATGTAATAAGAGTATGCCAGAGGCAGAGTGAGGAGTGCTAGAGGCAGCATCGTCAAAGTTTGTGCAGTAAATCAGTTGCTGCCAAAAAGTCAGTGATAGAGTCTAGGTTAAAAGAGGAGCCATCAGCAAGAAGGGAAAGTAAAGTAAGGGCAGTAGAGCAGTAACAACGTTGGAAGTAAGTTCTGTGTGCTCATTGATAGAGTGGGCACTCCAACAGAATATGACTAAGAGAAACTGGAACCTGACAATTCTTAGAGTGGAACAAAGTGCCTTACCATGAGATATCCATAAGATAAATGTGGCCAATGCAAAGACAGGAGAGTGTAGTCTCCCAAAAAAGCCGATTTAATAAATCTGTCTCTGAGGTATATATGCTGAGATTACTTCATGTATTAAAGGTTGGTAGACAGCCTACCAAATGAGTGTGAAACATAAGCCTGCAATTGTTTTGCATGATGGTAGGATTGCTGGTCTCTTTTTCTGTCTCAAACATGCAAGGTTGCAGGTACGTATGTCTTGCTACTTCTGCTTACTGTACACTTAGGTCACACTAAACATGCACATACGAGCATATATATATACTAACCCCTTTGAGTTTTATTCTATTTTCTTCCTAGTTCTTGTGCATGCTTATTTCTGCTTATCTCCATGGGGAAGTGGAACAGAATTCTTCCTTTGTAAGCTGTGCGTGTCATAAGAGGCGACTAAATACATGTACCGGGAGCAATGGGCTAGTAACCCCTTCTCCTGTATAAATTACAGTGGACCCCCGGTTAACGATATTTTTTCACTCCAGAAGTATGTTCAGGTGCCAGTACTGACCGAATTTGTTCCCATAAGAAATATTGTGAAGTAGATTAGTCCATTTCAGACCCCCAAACATACACGTACAAATGCACTTACATAAATACACTTACATAATTGGTCGCATTCGGAGGTAATCGTTATGCGGGGGTCCACTGTACTAAAAACAAGGAAAACAAAAACTATAAAATTGGGATGTCTGAATGTGCGTGGATGTAGTGTGGATGATAAGAAAGAGATGATTGCTAATGTTATGAATGAAAAGAAGTTGGATGCCCTGGCCCCAAGAGAAACAAAGCTGAATGGGGTGAGATCCGAACAAGTGACTGTCAGCGTGCCTCGTTGTGCTCCCGGTTTTCTGGTGTTTTCACGGTCGCTCTTACGTGCTAGAACGTTAATTTGTGTCATCAATCCTATACGATACATCCCTCTAGCGCCTGGAACCAATCTTGGGCGGAAAACATTATATACTGAGTCAAAAAAGGAGAATTAGTGTGCATTACCTAGCAGAGTTTACTGCCAGAGGGGAATCATAAGCCTGTTTTCCGTGTGAAAAAAATAATAATAATTGAACTTTGTGTCAGAGGAAAGAAAGTCTCCCTGAAAGCATTGAGTATACATAGTGTATAGTGTATACTACAGTGGCTCCCTAGTATATTGATGATAAAGGCTAAAGTGTCATTTGAAAACAGGTGAATTTGTAAATGAAAGTGATAAGCCTATAGAGGCAGGTGCCAAAAGGGTCGCCAGAAACTTACCACAGGTCAGCTGTTTTTAATAATCTTCCTGGCCTGCTAGTGTACTCGCATATAATCTAGTGATACCAGTGAATAGCAGAATACAGTGTGTAGTAGCAACTAACCAGTATTAAATGGTACTTAGGGGAGTGGAGTGACTTTCATTAGTTTCTTTTTCTTGAAATACGAGACGTTACTGTGAATTTCATATAACCTGTAGTTACCAGCGGTCGCAATATACAAAAAACGAGAACAATTATTACTACGGGAAAAAGCGCCCTTTCCCTCCAAAATTTGCACCAGTCAACTATAGTGATAATTAGCATTTATTGTGGTGGAGACGGAAAAAACAAAAATAGAAAAGCCAGATACAGCGTTTTGAAAAACAAAGAGGTCGACTGTACATCATTGTAGGAGCTGCCAGATATCACCGGCTCTTCAACACCGCAAGTTATACTTTTGTATCAGTCAAATCACATATTACACCCTCGGGTAGATAATTTCCAGTAGATCCTTCATGTGTTAGCTCAAATCACCGACCAGTATGTTTTAAATAAGTGACCCACTGATCAGAGCGATCGACGGGTTTCGAACCCTTGACTGGTCCGAACCCTTGACGGTCCGAACCCTTGACTGGTCCGAACCCGGGACGGGTTTCAAACAGTTTCGTTGGACAATTAAAGCAGACTGTAAACGGATGGGTTTGTAGGCGCCCTTATAAACACAAACATTAAAAATCAGGAACGTGCGGTAAGCTGTCCAATATACAAAAAGAGTTAGAAACAGAAATACAAATAGCTAGAGCTTCATTTAAGGTTATTAATATAATATTCAAGAGGTTGCTAGTAGAATTGCAGTTAAATCAACCATTCAAATCATTAATGAAGCTGGGGTGTAGTCTGTGGTCAGTCACAAACAAACGGGCTTCCACATGGTTAAATTGTCAATTTTTTGTGGAAATTGTGTCACGCCCTTGTGCAGATATCCCAGAACAAGCTACAAGCAGATTAAAAACAAGAATTTTTTTGGGTTGCCCAAATGAGGAAAACTGTGGACTAAAATCACAGGGTATTAAAAGAGGATCACAAGCTGCTTCATAAAACCTGGAACCTTTCTACAACAGAGGGGAATAAAAAGCCTGGCTGAAGTACTCCCCCTTGATACTGGCCATGTAGTCCAAACTGAAGGCTGGAGTGATGTCCTGGTAGTCAGTAAATGTGGGGCTGATAGTGCTGTCCGGGGAGACAGTAAGGGTGAAGCGGGAGGTGCTGTCCTGGGAGACAGAAATGGTGAAGCTGGAGATACTGTCCTGGGAGACAGAAATGGTGAAGCTGGAGATTTTGTCCAGGTAGTCGGGAATTATACGCAGGAAGGAATACATATAAATGACCTCATAGAGGACAGGAGCCATAGTAGGGAAACAAGTGTAGTCCAAAGATAAGATAAAACCAATATTGCAAACTAGAATACCGCAGGAAATAGCAAACAAGAGGACTCCAATAGCAATAGTGAGGATAAATTACCAAAAAAACTGGTGGGAGCTCCCCTTGTTGGTGCTAGGGAGGATAGGAATAAACAGGGAAACATGCACCAACAGGGAATTCAGTCACAGAAACCCAAGGCAAACGGAAACCAAGCCTGTGCACATACTATGCACTTGGTATCTGCTGGCTGGGAAATCTGGAAAAACAGATGGGACATGCAACTATGACCACCCTAGAAATGTCATGCCCATATGACAACAGGAAAATGCAAACTCCCTTCCTGTAAGCTTTTTCAAACCCCGAAAAAGTGTACCTCTTCAGTACAGGAAAGACTGTGCTATAACTTAAATTGCCAGGCATACCATCTAAAGGGGACAAAAAGATACAAAAACATCCAGGCCATGGGAAAACCTGGGTAGCCACAGCCACTCAAGAGGGAGAGGGTTTTTTTGTGCCCAGGAAGGAAAAAAAAAACTGGCAGGAAATGGCAGAAAATCGTACACCAAAACCAGTCATTCCTGGAGTGGAACCACAGTCGATGGCCTCCACTCCAAACCAACAGATACAGATACTAATGCCGGAAAAAAATTTCCCCCCCAAGACCAACAATACCCCCAGTCCGATAACATTCTTC